CCACTATTTTGGCCTTGGACAATAAAGTTTGTTTTACTCTTTCTTCTTTAGAATTTCACTAGTAGGTAAATTCAGAAACTTGTATGTTTCAAGTAAAATGCTTTAATACATTAACTTGGTACTTTTATTTACTATAACAGATTAATACTTGTATTTGGAGAAGTCCAATATTATATTTGTATAGCATTGACTATATATTCAAGATATATTCCAATATGTGGGACAAAATCAAGCCTTTAAAGAGTTTATATATTTGTGAAACTTTGCTAAATCTTTTTGTACGTATATGCTTTCTCCAAACTAAGTTTATTATTTTCTTTCCAGTAAAATGTTTTTCTAATTATAAATGACTATATATAGAATAAAATAATTATCATTATCAGCACACCCAAAATAGTAATGTGATGTGGATCACTTTGCACAACAGAGTAAATAGTAAATGGTTGTGCTCTGCAATAATTTCTTATCATTTGTTTTGACACAAGATATTATTTAGGATTCACCTGTTCCCATCATATCTTATGCTTTCTTAAAAATCAAACACCCTTTGTGCAAATACTTTTGGATCTCATGGCATTAATAATTATAGAGATTCTGACAATAGATGTAAATCCTTGCTGCTTCTTGAAGCAATTTATTTTAACCTAAAACACATCCACTTGACAGTTAACACATGAGAATATAGATGCTGGGGTTCATAATTTTTGTCACAAATATTGTTGTCCACAATAATAGAGCCTCATGCTTTTGAACCCCACACAGACCAAAAGAAAAAAATTATTGCAAGTAGCATCATCACTGGACTTTAGCATAACTACAAAAAATCCATGGTAGTTNAGAAAAAAAAAAAGGGAAAGAAAGAAAGAAAACCTTGAAGAAAATTTGATTTTCCCCATATATATGTATACAAGGATCTATGTACAAGTTACAGTAAAAACCAAAACATACTCAAACCTCCGGTGAGAGTTTCTTTTACCTTCTTCGCCGGGGTGCAGATTTCTGTTCCTCTTTGAACAGAATTCTTCATCAGTAAATTTACATTTACCTTACAAAACGAACGATAATAGTCTTTTTTTCTCAAAAGTTTGCATCACAGAATTTTCCATGGATCCTATTCTGAACAGCTTTGACGGCAGCAACTCTTGCTGCCATTGCTGCCCGATTTGCAGCGAACACCGCCTTACTCACTTTCTCGTCCACCGGACGCAGGTGGATAGCGTTTTCTGCCGTTTTTCGAGCACCCTGCAAAAGTAAAGATTTTAAGAGTACTGGGAAAAAAAAATATGAAAAATGGAAAAAAGTTGACATTTTTCAGCTGAAAGTTGAGAAATTTTGAAAAAACAAAAAAAAAGTTACATTTTTTGTCTTTGTGATTACAGTAGTTTTGTTTACACAACCGCCACTTTTTGTCCACAACGACTGAAAACAAGAGAGCAAGAGACCAAAAAACGACAGACCAAAAGTGGCATTTTCACAAAGCAAATATGAAAATGTGGCATTTTGCAAAATTTCTAATTTTAAAATTATGTCAGCTATTTTATTTTTTATTACACTTCTGTTTAAATTACTCAGGAAACGCACAAGAAACACCCCCAAAATAATCTGTTTTTTATTTCAGCCAAAAGATGAAAAGTATTTTATTTTTAAAATTTAGATGGAGATTATAGTGTTCAAACAATAGATGATCACTTCAAATATACCTGAACAGCCCGAAGAACAGAATCCGAGAGAGAGGAAAGAGGCGTCTTAAGATGGCCATTATCCCATTCTCCACATCTCATCTCACCATTTCTGAAAGTATACATACCATAACCTTGCTTTCGACCCTCGTGCCACGACCCTTCATAACAGTGCCCATTTGCAAAACGGTACACTCCAAAACCATGGATTTTGTCTCCAAAATACTCCCCACCATATCTATCCCCATTCCTAATCAAGTTAAACTTTTTCATTAGCTGAAGGTGAAATGCCAACTAATTGACTAGCAGGACATGATATCAAGATTGATCACTTTAAGCAATCAACGTTGTTTGATCGTGAGTTGGCATTGAATTATTAGATAATGTTAAGGGGGAACTGAATAATTAGATTGCCTAATTAGGGCCTAATTAGGGCCACACCACCACCTAACACTTGGATTTGCTGCACAAAAGTAATAATTCAACGTTGGGTAGCTACTTCATTTCTTAAGCACCTAAAATTCATTCTTTTCAAATTAAAGCATATGAAAATTGACCGTAATAATTAACACAAGAGAAAAAACTAAAAAAAGTAACAATTTTCAAATACTAGCAGACAATAGATCCACGTTATCTAGCAATTTGAATACATCTATTCTTCCTTCAACAGCTTCAAAAGGAAGAAGGAAAATCAAAAAGGGGTAAAGAAATTATTCATCTCTTTACACTTTAACCCTTTTTCTTGCAAGTGAAAAATCAATATCCATCTCTAACCCCAACAAAATTCAAGAACCATTAATCATCACACACAATAAAAATTATTCAAGAACCACAAATTATACTAAATTCAAAAACGAAAACACTATAAGAGGAGAAGAAACAGTGAATTAAACTAAAAAAGGAAAACCAGAGCTAATAAAATTTGAAAAAACAAAAAAAAAACATGTCATCACCTGAAATGGTAACACCCAAAGCCATGTTTGACCCCACACTTAAACTCCCCAACATAAGAGCTCCCATCAGCACAAGTCTGAACTCCAATTCCATGGCTCTGCCCATTAAACCACTCACCGGAATAAGTGTCCCCTGTATAAAACCTATAAACACCATATCCATGCCTCAAACCATGCCTATACTGCCCTTTGAATCGACTTCCTCTCGCCCAGCTCTCAATCCCAAAACCGTCATACTTCCCGTCAATCCAGTCTCCTTCATACCTCCCATTAATCATATAATTGTACACTCCACTCCCATTGCACCTCCCACCATGAAACTCCCCCTCGTAGAAATCTCCATTGCTGTAAAACTCCACACCTTCTCTAGTAACATTTTCGAAACGGATGCCCTGTTGTTTTCCTTCGATTTCATCCGGGATTGGATAGCCTATGAACCATTGAACCGATTTTGTGGGGTTCTTGGATGCAAAACAGTAAAGACTCAATCTTTTAGCGTGCTCGTCGATAAACTGCTTGCAGGAGCTGAAAGTCCGGTTGAGCAAATCCCTGTTCTTGGAGACGAAGAACAGGAAAACGGCGACGAAAATCAAGGACAGGAGTAGATTCTCGGAGGTGGACGCGTCGTCCCAGACGAGAAAGGCGAAAATAGTGTACGCCGGCAGGAAGAATAAGAGGGCGAAAACGGGTCCGAAACGCCAGGCACTCGGTCGAACACGTGGCGTGCAGGGTTTGGAGTGGGGCTTCTGCTCCTCCAGGTCCCGCGAGATCTCGGCCGCGAAAGGCGAGCTCTGCGCCGGCAGACGGTAGGTGGGGGATGACCGGAGAAGGGAGGATTGGGTCCTGCTGAGCCTCGACTGGCCCTTTTGGCCGTCCATTTCGTAAGGGTGGCCGCCGCTAGTTCAATCTCCGCCGTTGGTCGTTTTTTTCTTCTTCCCTTTTTTTTTTTCGGTATACTGCTAGCTGGCCAAGCTCCTGTGTCTAGATATCCCTATCTTGAGCGCCGGCGCGGGCTTCATCTCCTGTGATGCGCAGGTTAAGCAGCTGGGAGCAAGGGATGCGGCGCAGGTTAGCGAGGTGTTTGTGAGAGAAAAATAAGAGGGAAAAGTGCGTGCGCGTGAGAGAGAGAGTTTGGACTTTGGACTTTGGAAAATGTTGATGCGAACGGGTTATAATGTGCTCGGACGTGCTGATTTATCACGGGAAGGCAGATATGGTGGGGCCCACTTCTGTTTGATACCAACAGTAGATTGCAGATCGTTCGTGGATAATTGGCCCAGCGTTGGTGGCCGTTGGATGAACATATTTCGGCCTTTTTTGGCAATTGCTTCTCGTTTTCCTGCGTTGGGATCACGGAGTCTTCTCATTTTTTAGCGGTTACTATTATTCTGAAATAGTATCGTAAGTAGTGTTCATTTGACATTTTAACACATTTTAAACTTTTGTATACTTATTTTTACTAATTTTATTGGAATTCTTGAAAATTTGAAGTATGAAGGTGATATACAGTGATAAAATTTCCTAGATGCAATTCGTGTTTGAAACTCCCATAATAAAATTGAAAAAGTCCAACCATACGGTGGTAAAAGAATTGAAACATCCATGACTTCTTAAAATCTTAAATAACTACCTAATTTTTTTTTAAAAGTTTTAAAAAATCCAAATCAATTATACTATGACTATTAAAATCTCAAAAGTCTTAAAACTCGGATTTAGACCTTATTGTTTTAATATTGTATTCTTTTTCATGTTTTATTCAGTTGGTTGCATGACACATATCTATAATAATTTCATATTTGCCCACATATCATGCATCCAACAAATAAAACACGAAATCAAATATGAAAATAGAATATGAAAATGAAATAAGTGATCTGATTCCTTAAAAAATCATGAATGAGTTACATTACTAATTGTACCAATACATTTGGTCCAACTGCATCAATTTACCAAAAACGTCATGGCGTAACGCACAATTTCTGTCATTTCGGATTTGGTCCAACTGCCATAAGCTTGTACTGTCACTTACTAGTGTTTGTAATAGGTTAATGCATTGCTTAGCTTAATGTACACACTGCCTAAACAGAACTGAAGATATCAACAAAGATGCATTTAATTTAAAGCATCACAAATCCAGTGGATTTTAACAAACCCAAACATTCACGCAGATAGAAAATAAGATGAATCAAGAATGTAAAACTTGATTTTAGAAAAGCATGTCCAGATTAGCTCCATTCCAACTTATNAAAAAAAAAAAAAAAAAATCTCTGCCAAACCAGACGATGAGACCTGTTTGAATACAAGAAGCTCATAATCCCTCTATATAAACTCATAAGCTAGCTTACGTTACATACCAAACACACTAAGTAACGTGGAAATTACGAGTCTTGAACTGTTGTAATCCATAAATTTTCACCAAGCAAATGCATAAAGGAAAAAATTACCCGACAAACCACAGCACAAAACACCACCATTCACTCATTTCTTCACCACCAGCTTCGCCTTCATCCTCTCGACCGCAGCCCTGAGAGTTCCTTCATCCTTACAAAAGGTAAACCTCACCAGATTCTTCCCTTCCTCCGAATCCAAATAGAACACGCTCGTCGGTATAGCCACAACCCCAACCTCCTTAATCAAATACTCACAAAATGCCACGTCATCATCCATCCCAAACGGCGTATGATCCACCACCACAAAATACGTCCCGCTCGACCGATAAACCTCAAACCCCACTCCCTTCAACCCCTCCACCAGAATCTCCTTCTTCGCCAAGTAATCCCTCCTCAGCTCCTCGTAATACGAGTCGGGCGCGTTAAGCGCCGCAACCGCAGCACACTGCATAGGCGTCGACGTCGCGAAGGTCAAATAAGAATGGGCCTGCCTCACTCCCCACGTCAAATGGGCCGGGGCTACGGCCCACCCAATCTTCCAGCCCGTTAACGAGAAAGTCTTCCCTAGAGAGTTCATAGTCACCGTCCGCTCGAACATCCCGGGAAGTGACGCGATCGAGACGTGATCCATCTCGAAAGCCAACTTGTCGTAAACCTCGTCCGAGAAAACGAGCACGTCGTGCTCGACGCATAAGGACGAGATCTCGTCGAGCTCGTCACGCGTGAACATTTTGCCCGTCGGGTTGTGGGGAGTGTTCATTAAAATCGCGCGGGTTTTTTTCGAGACAGTCGATTTTAGCTCGTCGATCGGGAGGGAGAAGTTCGGGGGTTTTAGGGTGATTGATTTTAGTTCTGCGCCTGCCATGGATAGCGCAGCCGCGTACGAGTCGTAGAATGGGGCGAAAATGACAACTTCGTCCCCGGGGTTTATTAGCCCGAGGATTGTGGCGGCGATTGCCTCCGTGCAGCCGGAGGTGACGGTGACTTCTTTCTCGGGGTCGATTGAGAGGTTTGTATCTTTTTTGAAACGGTTGGCGATGGCGAGGTTTAGGTCGGGGACTCCGTAGCCTCGGGCGTATTGGTTTTTGCCGTCACGGATGGCTTGGATGGCGGCCTCCTTGACGAAATCGGGGCCGTCGAAATTGGGGAAGCCTTGTCCGAGGTTGATGGCGTTGTGCTTGATGGCGAGGCTGCTCATTTGGGTGAAGATTGTCGTTTTGAACTTTTCGAGACGCTTTGCGACCTAGAAAAGGGATTGAGATTGATTTGATTAGTAATTATGTAATGGCCAAGTTATACTATACTCCCTCTATTTCAAAATACATGTCTTTCTCTTTCTACGGCGCCTTATTTTTCTTGCTGTGTATTCTTTCAGTTTTAGTCATTATTATTAGAAGAGATATCTGAATGTGATATATGGAGATCAGTAACAGAAAGATAGAGAGAGTAGTTATCATGATAAAAATATGAAAATATGATTCAGGGATATTTGGATTCAATTCTTGGATATTCCATTTTTTTTCTGGAACATCATTTGTTTTGAAACGAAGGGAGTAAGAGATTACATGTACTTCGGTAGTTGTTCGATAGTTGTGAAAGAGTAGCATATATTTGTTTATTAGCTGTGAAACAGTGAAAGTGAGCTTCTTCACATATAGACGCATATTAGGGTAGTTCATTGTGTGCCAAGATGAGCTGTGATTCCATGCCATTCAACTCGGATCAAGAGTCATTCAACATATTAAGGAATCAGCAAATGAACTTATAGTGCGACTGAAAAAAGGTTAGCCAAAGTTGATCTGTGTGAAATCTAATGTACTGTATGTGAGCATTAATCCAAGAAATCAACATTTTTCGGTTAGGCAAAGTTGATCTGTGTGAAATTTATGTACTGTATGTGAGCATTAATCCAAGAAATCAACATAGCATTTTAAACCTGGCACTAGAGTGGGATGCTACGAGAGATAATCTATTGAGTTACAGTGTAATATAAGTAATAAAAGAAAAAAAGTCTTAATCTTTTCACAATTGAACTACATAACTTGTAACCCCAAAATTCAATTTATCCACAAAAGAACCACATAAATTTCCAACCACAGAATTTTCAAGACATTCTAGACACAAATGAACTCAAAAATCCATGTACTCTCGTTATCAAAATCTCAAGTTTCAACACCAACTCCTAGAAATTTGGCATCCCATTAAAAAAAAAAAAAATGAATTTCTTGCAAAGTACCAAAATTCATCCTACCTCAAATCTCCGGAAAGAAACAAAAACATAACTAAATGAAACAAAGAGAGAGATAAATAAGCTAACCTGGACAGGCTGAGGAGCGCCGCTCTGAGTCGAAATGGGCTGCGGCCGAGTTACGGCCGCGGCGGCGGATGACTCGGAAGCCATGATTGCCGGGATCCTCGACGTCAGAGCACGGCGGACTCTGCTTGCTAAAGGGATTTGGGGAAAATGGAAGGGTTTGAGGATGTTATAAGGTGTTAGCATCTCATGTGAAGATGGTGTCCAGGTACATTGACTCGTATTATTGTACCCAAAAGGAAATGGATCTAGCATTGACATCATCAAACAAGCATTGGTTTGGAAGGAAAAATAACAAAATGGTTCTTTTGTAATTTGCTGTCCTTTAATCCCCGTTCATAAATCACCACTCAACTGTGTATTTCGTACTATGTACACGTGTTTTTTATTGTAAATTTATAGGAGAGTCATTTATTATTTAAAACAAATAGATGGATCAAATTCAAATGATAGTCAAGTATTCATACCTAAGCCTATTC